AGGCCATGCCAAGGCTGCGTGGCCTCGGACAGGCTAGCTGTGGCCTGCGCTAAAGCCCACAAAGGTATACACCAACAACAGCAATCACAGCAGCACTAAGAAGAAGACCCAGAAGCATCACAAGATCAGAAAAAACCACTAGCAACAGGCAGCAAGAAGCATAGTAGCAATGCCTCTGTTCTGGCTGTGCTAATAGACTGGCGGCTGTTTGCGGGGGCCTTGTTGGACAGCCCAGGTGCTGAGCCAGCAAGGCTTGTGCTGCGGCGGTCCAAAATGCCTCACGTCGCCTTGGGAAGCCCATAAGAAGAGAGGAGGCAGGCTTCGGACAGGCCACAGAGAGGCCGCAACAGGCCTGCCAGCTGCCGAGGAGCGTTTGAAGGCGGTCCAAAATGCCTAACGTCGCCTTCGGAAGCCCATAAGAAGAGAGGAGGCAGGCTTCGGACAGGCCACAGAGAGGCCGCAACAGGCCTGCCAGCTGCCGAGAGAGGAGGCAGGCCTTGGACAGGCCACAGAGAGGCCGCAGCAGGCCTGCCAGCTGGCGAGGCCTCGGACAGGCCTTTGGAAGTGCTTGGAAGGGTTCTGCTAGGCTTGGCCAACTGCTTCACCCTGCGGTGTCCCAGGCGCCTCCCCGCCTAGGCTTTGGCTATAGGCCGGGGTCGGCGGATAATAAGAATCAATTAAAAAACTATAGGGATCAACTAAAAAACAAATAGGGATCAAGAACAACAAACAGACATCAAGAAACAATACCTACTTGGAAGAGACAAGAAAGAACGATAGAACGAACGAAAGAAAGAAAGACGGACAGACAGACAGAAGGAAAGAAAGAAAACACAATAAATAAAGACAGAAAGACAGACAGACAGACAGACAGAAAGAATCACCACTACTGCCACTACCAATACCACTACCACTACCACCACTTCTACTACCACTACCACTACTACCACTACCACCACTTCTACTACCACTAACACTACTACCACTACCACTACCGCTACCACTACGACTACGACTACGACGACTACTACTACGACTACGACTACCACTACCACTACCACTACTACTACTACTGCTGCTCCTACTCCTACTGCTGCTTCTGCTACTGCTACTGCTACTGCTGCTGCTGCTGCTTTTGCAAATGCTATTTCTACTTTTTGCTTCTTCTTCGGCTTCTACTCCCGCTGCTGCTGCTCCTGCTACAACAACAACAACCACTACTACTACTTCTACTTCTTTTACTACTACTACTACTACCACCACTACCACCACCACTACTACCACTGCTATTACTACCTACCTACCTACCTACTTGCCTGCCTGCCTGCCTGCCTACCTACCTTTTCTTAGCTCATTGTTAAACTTATTTTTAGATCATTGTTTGTTTTTATGTTGATCATCCTTTTGTTTTTATTGCAACATCGCCATTTTTTGTCTGTTGCTGATCCCGGTTTGTTTGTTTGTTGCTCTTTTGGGTTTATGATGTTTTTGATCCTTGTTTGTTTTTCTTTTGGTCCTCCACCCCTCTAGACTGGGGTTTTCTGATTGTCTATGATTTTCTACATTGCTCCCACGATTGGGTCCATTTTCGCACGAGCTGAGCTAAGACGTGTTTTCCGTCCTTTCGATCCGACCGCCGGCGGAGCTGGCGAACGGAGGTGCTGCCAGCTGAGTCCATTTGTGCCTGGAGCTCAGGTGGAGGGTGAATGAAGGTGAACGAGGGTGATCCGGGAGGATGGACTCCATTAACCCATGGCGCATGGGCACAGTCAGAGACATCCCAGCGCTGAAGCCATCTCACCTGCAAGGCAGCATTGATGGGCGACACTGAAGGCTGGCATGATCCGGAGAGCAAACGCAAAGACAGAGAACAACACAAGTGGCCTACAGGCCATCCGTGCTATGGTTCCAAAACACTGTTCTTTGTAAGACAGGCGCGTTGCGTTTGGCTCGCCGCTGGGCCACCTGCGACCAGGTGGGAAAGGGATGTTATCCATGTGTGTTGGAGGGACCGTGGTGCAATGATTCCTCTACAAACCGCATCGAAAGGAATGCATACAAGCGATACAAGTCCTTTGGTCGCAGGCATCCAAGCCGCAGGCTGAGCGCCTGGTGTCTTGGCTGCACGTGGCGCGTGACATCTTCACAAGCGGGAGTGTGTCAGCAAACATCATGACACTCCAAACATTACCCCCACCACTGGCCTTCCCCTTAATAGCGCTTAACAGCACACTGAAATGAGGCCTAGAAGTTGTGGTGCTTTGAAACAAGCTCGGAGTCAGTCCACCCAAGGTCTCAGTGCTCAGTGAAGGCCCCACCCGGCCTCCAGCAACACAGGCGGGGCGGAAATTCCGCGGACCAGAAAACGACTTCTTCCCATCGGCCCCCCTTTGAACCAGAAGACCCGGCAGGTCCCTCTGCAGGTCCCAGCTTCATGGAGCACTGTGAGGATTTCGCCGGGCCGCCCCTGCCCAGGTCATGGCCCAAGCCTTGACCAAGGCCGATCTGACCCGAGATATTTTTGTCATGTCAAAAAACCGATAGGCTAGCGGCTAGAAGCTGGCTTTTCTAGGACATGACGAAACCATACAAAGCCTACCTTTGGAGGTTTTACAAAGCTGGACGCTTTTGCACCTTTTGCGACATCCCTTGAAGTGGGCGAAGCTTTGGGTGAGGATTGAGGCCTCCATTTGCTGAGAGCGTCCCTGGCAGGTCGCAACGCCCTTTTGAAGCAGAATTAGTCCGGCCGCATTCGCTCAACGCGGCACAGTCGACGTGAAAACAGAAAGAAGATTGCTCGCTGGCCATCTAGGCGCGCTCAGTCCCCACATACTCGTAGTTGGCCCTCGAAGCATTGCAGACACCATTTGTTTGATCGATCGGTTTGCTTTGACGTTAAACGCACTGATATCCAGTGATGCTCGCTGTGGTGCTGCGGGGTTTTAAAGGTTTAAAGCGCCCCTTGTGCTCTGAATTAGCGTGGCTGGAGTACAAATGAAGCGGGAGATGACTGTCAATTGGACATTGCCAAGCAAATGCTTGTGTCACGCTTTTCAAGTTCAATGCCAAGCGCAAGCCCCCGTTCTTGCATAGCAAAGACCCATAAAGCCCCAAAGCCATGGTCTCACCTGGAGCATGGCAGACTGGATCCAAATTGGTTCCGGTCTGACGCTGTTGGGCATGTCAGGTGCTGGATGTTGCCGAATAGAATAGATTTGATTGACTCAAGGGAGGATTTCCTGAGATCAATCGACCCCCGTATTATCACTTTTTTCAAGCCTGCAACTGGAGCCCTTTCTTTTGTGGTGGTGGCAGGACGCCTCCCAAAAATTACTTTGGACAAAGCTGAAGCGCGCAACTGGCATCAAAGGGCATCCCCAACTCCTGCCTGTGTGGTCACCCCGAAACTCCAGATGAAAAAGGCAGAGTGGATGAGTTGCATGAGGATTTGCATTTTCGGATTCACTGTGGCAGATGATTCTTGGCACCTTTGTGCCCCTGACCACTCACTAGACTATATATTATATATATATGTAGTTCCATTTGTCCCAGTTGGCTGCAGCATGGCAGGCCACCAACAACTTTCACTCCAGCAAGCGACTAGGCTGGGGCAGTGGAGAGCTGGTCCTGGTGATGGCGAATAAGAAGACACATGAGGTAGGACCAGGATACCACATGGTGATGGACGCTGGTGGTGGAGAAACAGTTCAAACGGTGAACACGTTTCTATCGCCTGGACCTATATGCACTACATGTCTTTGTTTCGGCCACATCCGGTAGTTGAGCCAGCAACTTAAGACTTCCTGTAAGTAACTGTAGACCACATCCATGATGCCGCTGTTGAAGGACGAATGGATCTAGAGATAATGGAATCAGCATCACGCCATATGCGACCCAAGGAAAAGATGGGCGGGTAACAACCCCGCCCCAAATCGGTCACCCTGTGCCATGGCCGCCACCAACCTCAGGTGCCGGGTGCTATGGTGCGGTCTACCGAGGCGAGCTGAAGGACCTCGGAGGGCGGTGGGTCGACATCGCAGCAGTGGGGACGCTCCCGAACTTGCATCGAACTAGCTTCTTGTCACTAGTAGCGATGGCCTCCAACCCAGTAGCTTCTTGTTAGACGTTCATAGACGTTCATGATTCATGATTGAACTACTCAATATTACTAGTAGCATGCAGCCACTAGATGGAGGCCATCGCTACTACGTTGGAGGCCATTGCTACTAGTAGCAAGAAGCTAGTAACAAGGGCATCGCATAGTTCATGGGATTGGACGCGTAGTTCCGTGGTTCCTCTTGTTTTTACGTGTTTCGCCATGGCACCGGTGTGAAGGGACTGGCACCAGTACAAGACAGGATGTGTCCTGCGATCATAATAGTCCTTATAACATTCTACGCATTATGACATTGTGATACATTTGGAATATGCTGGTTGGGACCTGGTTGGTGTTCAAAGAGTCCCCTTTCATCATGGTTGCTTCTTAGACTCTTAGACCAAGAAAAGGGTCAACTCACAGACTTCGCCCATGTGGACTGAGTCACTGCATGGACGCACTAGAGTGGCAGAAGTGCAGCCGTTGCTGGACTGCCTTTTGGCTTCAGAACGTCAGGTGTGCGGGTGCACATTCAAGACATGTGGCGTGTGAAACCTCATGTGACAGGTGAGAGGTGTCGAGCGGTCAGTCTAGAGTCTAGAGTCCAAGAAGGAACAAGGATTTGCATTGTATTGTCACATTCCAACACCTGGCTGCTTGCCAAGAAATTCATCCACCCATGTTGACCAGGCCAAGAGCCACAGCAAAAGACATCAGCGTTCAGAAGTCAGGGCGGGCCCAAGAGTCATTGCATTGGCCGCGTGGTTTCCAGAGGCAGCAACAGAAATGCTGCATCGCCATGTGCGGCCTCCTCCTTGACCAGGCCTTTGTGCCGCGCGTGTTGTGCCGTGGGAGTGGAGAATGGAAGAGGCAGAGCATGAGACGCATGTGGTGGCGATCAAGATTGCAGCGACCTTTGTGTTGGCCACCTTGTCGGCGGTTTTCTCAGGGCTCAACCTGGGACTGATGTGCCTGGACGAGAATCAGTTGATTCTCTTGATCAAGGCAGCTGATCGGGAGGATGGTTCCACAGAAGCCCAGCAGCACGCGGCATGGGCCAAACGGATCCTGCCGCTGCGCAAGGCCACGGATAAACCGGATGAACATGCTGATCGGTCTGCAACGCCTGTTGCCAAACCCAGAACAACATTAATTGTAATTTATATAATGTATATCTACCTATATCTACTGTTACTGCAGCAGCACTTGTGGGAATGTTTGGTTTCCTTGTTGGCTGAACTGTTCACCGTTGAGCTCGGTGGTTCCGTCTTGCAACTGATGTAGGATGGGAACTTGTTGTTGTGCACGGTGCTCCTGGGGAATGTGATGGTGAACTCCTATATGGCGATCTTGATGGCTGAACTGTGGGATGGGACTGCAGCCTTCATTGCCACAACCTTGATCATCGTTACCTTTGGGGAGATCATGCCACAATCGATTTGCTACAAGCACGGCTTGAGGACCAGACCAACCCCTCCAGACCAGGTCACCAAACATCCTTAGGTCCTTAGGTGGAGAGCCAAGCTAGTCTCAAAACGAAGGGAGCAAAACCAGAAGTTGTAATTTGCCAGACTTTGTTTTCTTGGTCGCCTGTTTTTGCCGTCGCAAGGCTAGTTTGGAGGATGAACTCTCAGGTTGCAGGTTGGATCAGGCAAGGTGGGTGCTATTTGTGCCTCGTGGAACTCGAAACCTCCACCTGAGACCCAAAGAGCATCAAAGACCCCACAGCCCGAAGGATTGGAGCAGCCTTGGTGCCCTTGCTCTTCTTCTTCTGGATACTTCTCTATCCAGTGTCGAAGCCCATCGCCCTCATCCTTGACCGGCTTTTTGGGGAAGAGATTGGCCAGGTCTTGGACCGGCAGCAGTTCATGACTTTGATTGAGACTTGCCATCCGGCGGTTAGCTCTGTGTTCGGGGTTTCTCCACTGAATCCGAGTTGGGCCTTCCGAAAGGCGCCAAGAGAGAGAGGATGATAGGATGTGTTTCATTTCACATTTTTCCCGCATCCCTCCAGCTTAAGACACCAACAAAGGGTTCACCGAGAGACTGGGCATCCGTTGCCCGAAATCGATGTTTACTCCGAGTCCGGCCCTCAAGTCAGGGTGATCCAGGGTTCGGCACCCAAGGAATACCAACGGAAGCAAGCACCACACCTACTGACTGAGCAAGAAGCGCGGATCCTTCGAGGCTCCTTGGACTTCTCGACCATGACGGCCCCTCGGCAACCAGGGGAGAACAACCATGGCCAGCTAGTGTTTGGTGGCGACGCTGGCACTCAACGACCGATGCTTTTGGTCGGCCACTCGCAGATCCGGAGAAGTAGCTAAAGATGCTAGTGTCGTAGCTCGCGCCATCCCCAGGCGAAGAACATCATGGTCCCAATGGCCGAGTGTTTCTGCCTGGATTCTCATGCCGTGATCAACCCAGGGCTTTGCTCTGCCGTGGCCTCCGCTGGCTACTCCAGGATCCCCGTCATCGACCGGGACCCCTTGAACCCCAAGAAGCAGCTTCTGGGAGTTCTTCAGAGGGTCTCGAGGGTTCGGTTCACCCCACGGGTTGACTCAGGTGTAAGCTCAACAAGTCTTTGGATGACCTCTTCCAATTCCTGCCCTTACGCGCCCTTTCCTTCAAAACATGCATAAACATGCTGTACTACATGCTGTATAATAAGTTTTATTGTACATGATATAAAACACGTTTTTTTTTCTCCCGCTTCCGTGTCAGCCCGCTCCTCATCTCTCAGGTTTGCTGTGGTCGGTTTGATTCATGTGAAAGACTTGCTGCTCCTGGAGATCGACCACGAGGTGCCCTTGAAGGCCTTGTTGCCCCTCATTGGCCGCCAGGTCTTCATTGTCGACGACGACGCACCTTTGCCGGAGCTTCTAGAAGAGTTCCGCCGAGGCGCGAGCCAGCTGGCTGTGGTGCGGGGCAGCTTGGCTGAGGACGTCCAACGGAGTCTAACCGACAATTCAGAAGCTAGCTTTTGCTCAGGAGGGAGCTAAGGAGCCAGGGGTATCCATATTCCCCATTCAACAGGGAGCCAAGGAGCTACAAGGAGTTCCCCAACCGCTTACTAGGAAGGGCCACCGTAAAGTGTTATGAAATTAAAGGCTACTGCTGAAGTCAATGTAACTTAACATCGTAACCATAACTTTGTCAATGGACTCTGTTGACATGCGCGTATTATGTGGTTTCTCAGGCTTGGCTCAGCTTATGCCACTGTTTGCGCGTTGCGTGTGGTTTCTTATTGTCGGTTCAGATCTATGAAGAAGTTGAAACAGTGGTTGTAAGTTATAAGCCTGAACTTGGGGACAGGGCCGCCAGCGAGGTATCATCAACGATGAAGACTGCGATCCTTACTTTCGGCATGTGGGCATTCTCACGCTTCAAGACCTTCTGAATACCATTGTCCAGGAGGATGTGCACGAAGTAGACGCAGATGATGTTGATTCAGAGGTGGGAGTATGGAGCCCGACCCGAATCTTGTACTTTCTGGTAGATCCAAAAAACATCGTGCCGGAATTCTGCCTTTTGAGTGTTGCAGGCCTCAAGCTTGTCACAAAGCTGGCCTTTCACAAAAAGCAAGGGTTGCCAACGGTCCCACATGATCTCACTACGTGTTTTTCACTTGATCATGTCGTTTCCTGCATATTATATAGTGACTTTTTTGATATTTTTTGTGGAACCTGTCAATCCAGAGGCTAGGTATGTGCTTCCCGTATGTTCCAGTTGCATCGCTTCGCTGCTTACTTTTTGATGGACACCCGACACATCCCGAAACCATGGCAATTGGTACAGTACCGGGCCCCTAGGGTCCCAGGTCACGCTTAAAAGCATTTGAGTCTCGATGATGGAGCCGTTCAATCGGCATGGATGACAGGTGAGCAGCGAGCCCAGCGGCATGTTCTCGAATGTCCGGCGCTTTCACGAAGCATTAGACCCAACGCCAGTACACCAAGCGCCTGCGCAGGCGCATGTGGGTGGTGGATGCGATGATGGGAGCAAAGCAATCGGAAGAGTGTGTACACATCATACATAAAGTCATAAAGACACAAAGATAGCAATCATCCATTTCACCCAGGATCCACAACAGCTCGAGATCCTTCGTTTCACCCCTGTACTGGTGGCTTCTCTTGGGTTGAGCTGGGATCCAGACCAGATCCATGGATCTCGGTCGAGAGGTCAGAAACACACTGTGTTTGTTCACATGTGTGTTCACATGTGTTCACATGCTCCATATCTCATCATATCTCGTTTGAGATGTTGTTTGATGCAGGTGGTACGGGGCCTCTCAAAGGACGAGGTGGTCGCGGCAGCTGCCTTCCTGCGGCAGCGCTACATGAAGCTCTTTGGTCGTGTGGAGCAGGGAAGGTTAGAGGCGAGGATTTGCCTGGAGGGTGGAAAATGGTTTGAACACAGGCATGCAGTCCTGGTCCTAGTCCTATCAGTACTATTCCCAGCTGTGTTGATTGTAGCACACCCTGCAGTGCCCTGCAGGCTTTCCTACTTCGAAGCTGCCAAGTGGTGGGCACTGGTCGGGATAACCAAGGGACTGCATTATACCATCGCAGTCAGCCAGCTCAATATGCCGCTTTGGTGATTTCAGGGGAGGTGAAGGTCTTCGCAGGGCAAGAAGCCTATGAATCCATCCATGGCCCATGGAGCTTTTTGGGGAAGAGATGCTTGGAAGCGGCCTTGGAACGGAAGGAGAACAAGGAGAAGGCGGAGTCCAAGGCAAATCGCCAGGTCTATTGTCCGGACTTTAGCGCATACACAGCCGAAGCCAAGGATGATGTTGGAGGCTCAAGGCTTTTGCTCATCACTGGTGAGGCCTATTTCAACCTTCTCTCTGGGCGCAATGGATTGCTAAGCCTCTGAGAGCGAATTCGTCATAGGTGGAGCATAAGGAGCTGGTGATGGGATTTTCGCGGGGAGAGCTGCAGAATGCAGGCGAAAGAATGGATGCACGTGTGCTGATCACAACCTGCCAAGTTAGCAGGGCGAATTGAAGTAGAACCCAAAAAGACCTACGCAAGAGAAAAACTATACTGGTATACCGAAAGCAAACTATGGACACATGCCTCCTTTGTTTCCGTTTGTTTCACCCTATGCCATCCAATGGAAGGGCACCAATAATAATGCCAGGACTCGCCGAATCAGTGGCCCCCCACTGGGCATCTTTGTCCTCCGTCTTCCTCCCGTGTCCCAGCTAAGCCTGGGATGGGGAGAACAGGAAATCCAGAGAAACAGAGGGAACGAGCCAGAAACCACGCGAAGAAGATGTGCTGCAGCCATCATGGTCTGGGAACACTCTGGTCATGGATTCACGAGGTTGTATGGTAGAACCCGCGGTTGGGATTTGATGGAAAGGCCTGGGTCCTGTTCGGCATGTTTGGCTTCGGAGGCGTTTCTGGGGCCAGCCAGCCATGGTGCTAGGTCATCAGTCCCGCCTCTCCAGCTCTCCCCCAGGATGGCTCAGATGTGGCCATCAAGGTGCAAATTCCGTAAAAACAGAGACCAGCTTTAAGCACTCGCTTGATTTGCTCGATGTTTCCAACTAAGCGTTTCCATGCTTGGACATTAGCGTTTGGACAGATGCGGGGGAAGATGAATGGTTGGGTTGGGAACTTTGAGTGAGCTCTCTGATGCAGAATGTCCCAGGCCATTGATCTCAGTGTCTTGATGGGCAAGGGCGAGTGTCCGCAGGCGCGTGCGATGTTGCATAGGCAGCCAGGAATTGATGGACCTTTTATAGGCCTGATGTTGACTAATTAGAACGTATATAGTAGAAACGCATGGGATTTCCACATGATTGCCAACTCCCATCCTGGTTGGCCGTTGTCGGTTGAATTTGAGTGTCAGCTTTGCGCCAAGGATGCAGGCTTTGATGAGGAGGTGCAGCTGTTGAGTAAATTCCGGCATTCCTGGCCAGTTTCGATTGGCTCTTGGCCTCGTTCCTGATCGTTGGAGCGGAGCCATGTGGCGCATGTGATTCGTCCTGTGGGTGGCGAGCCTCGTGACTGACCTGACTGCCCGTGGCTATCCATGGCGACACACCCATTTGGATCATTGGATCTGTTGGCTTCATTTGGCCGCCAGGCACCCACACCTGGTGACGCTTTTAGGGTCTGAGGCCTAGGGGCGCCGAGTGGAATATTTTGGAGTTCTTAAGGTTAGTTCCACTGAGGTGGGGACAGCATGGCCTACAGCGCTACTTGGTGTCCGAGCCTTCTTTTCGGAGACTTCAGCAGGACTTCTAGATTCTAGACGTAGGGCAGCTGACACAAGTACGCGTAGTAGACTCACCTTTTGGAAATACATGGTGACACAATGGAAATCAAAACACATATATAAAGCAACTGATCCGCACAGGAAACATCTTATACAATTATCATTGCTCATCAGTTGCTTACCTTCTTGCTGCATGCTGGATGAAGAGTTGAGGTATGAGTTCCTGTCTGGTGGCGACGTCTTTCAGAGGCACGCTGTGAGCAGCACTTTTGCGGGATCCGTTGCTTTGGGGGACACGAGGGAACACTCCGCAATTCCCATCAGGATACGGCATGGGCATGATCCGTATGACCTGACATGGGGGATGAGAAGCAGTCAAGTGGTCTCTCTTTGTGTGTGTGCCACCTTTCGAGTGCTTGGATATTGTGGATTTGATGCGCTCACCCACGCTGAGGCTTCATAAAAGCCACACTGGAAAGAAGAGCTTTCTTTGGCATGACAGGCGCCACGCGCACTTTGCTTTGCGTCACTTCCTTTGAGTGTTGCAACGGGTCTCCAACATGAGAATGGCTTTTCGGTCGCACGTTTCGATTTGATCCCTCACCCGTGAGAATCTCAATAGCCTATCAATCTTTTTACCAGCATGCAACGAGGATGTTGCATTGGACAACGAAATCCGTTGGTTGCCGTGCAGGCTATCCGTACTTCTGGATGCTGCCAGCGGCCTCTCCCACATGCACAATGCCACTCCAAAGGCACAAAAACTGCTGAGCAGTGAGGGCTGGAACAAGGACTGTGCTGCACTAATGCGAAGACCGGATTAATAAACCCCCCCCCCACGTGGTAGGTCAACAAGGTCAAGACGATATGAGATGCCACTCATGAGGTCCACTCCCCCTGAATCGCAGTCGCAGTCGCAGTCGCAGTCGCCGTCGGTAGTAGGTAGTAGGTAGTAGGTAGTGGTAGTGGTAGTGGTAGTGGTAGTGGTAGTGTAGTAGTAGTAGTAGTAGTAGTAGTAGTAGTCGTGGTGGTGGTGGTCGTGGTAGTAGTCGTAGTCGTAGTCGTAGTAGTAGTAGTAGTAGCAGCAGTAGTAGTACCAGCAGCAGCAGCAGCAGCAGTAGTAGTAGTAGTAGTTGTAGTAGTAGTAGTAGTAATAAAAATAGTAGTAGGAGCAGCAGCAGCAGTAGTAGTGGTAGTGGTAGTCGCAGCAGCAGCAGCAGCAGCAGGAGGAGGAGGAGGAGTAGGAGTAGGAGTAGGAGTAGGAGGAGGAGTAGTAGTAGTAGTAATAAAAATAGTAGTAGGAGCAGCAGCAGCAGTAGTAGTAGTGGTAGTGGTAGTCGCAGTAGCAGCAGCAGTAGTGGTAGTAGTAGTCACAATAAGCTTAAACAAGCACAAAGAAAAGGCCAGGGACACAGGATCATTTTAATAGGGGATAGTAGTGCAGATTATTGATGGGGGACCGGCCCTTGTCAAATGATTTTTTTTGGTTGTTTTTATAAACAGCCAACTTATAGGCCCTGAGCCCTGGACATTTTTTTGGATTTCATCAAAAATGTAGTAGGTAGGTAGGTAGGTAGAAAACTAGGCTAGACCATTGGGGGAGAAATCAACAACCAATACTACTTTTAATTTGAGCAATTTCCGGCGGCTTTGTGGTCTCGGGTTAACTAGGGGGGATTTATTAATCCTAACTTTACATTACCCCACTTTGATCTAGGCTGCACGTGTGAGCCGTGCATATTCAGCCCCTTGGTGCAGTGCAGGCTTTCCACCGTGACATCAAGTCAGTAGCGATCTTAGCCCGTCCTAGCTTGTCGCTTGGTCCGTTTGTTTGAACACCAAGTGGCTTGCCTCAAGAACGTGCTTGAAGCATCTTGAAGCTGCTTCTTGGATCTTCTTGGTTGGTTTGTGTACTTCTGTACGCGGAGGCATTGTGCGTTGTACACAAGAAACACAAATGTGTGGTGCTTGGTCGGTGATGCGTTGTGAAATGATGTACGCTCGCGTCGACCCTGACAACTGTGAAGGGTTTCGACTGGCACTACGCCAGGGAGCCCTGCAGCCAAGATTTGGCAGCAGTTGATGCACCGCTGGCCGGGTGCAGGCGCTAGGGTATAGCATCCTTGGGGCCAACGCATCGCCCGTCGCGATGTATGACAGCAAGGCATATGGGCTAACGCGCTTGCTGGGGATGTGGTGGTCGCCCCTTGTTGGGGAGCAGTTGCTCCGGGCGGTTCCAACCGCCCCTGCCACTGTCGAACAGCCCTGAAGAGGGGAGGTCGCAAGGTTTTGCTGCTGCGGAGAATTCGCATGTTTGGTTTACCTTGGTGAAGCGTGAGCATACCACGCAGGGACGTGCTTTTGTGTTGAGGCCCTTGTCCTGCGTTCAGCAGTGCGCCACTGTCAGTGCCACGTGCGACGACTTCCCATTTTCATCCATTTTCAACGTCATTCACCATCCTTCGGGTGTCGCTATGGCTGCGTGTGTTCTGGGTCTGGATTGTGGCCTTCGGTGGGTCCAGTGACCTAAGGAATCGCGGATGAAAACAAGGCCTTGCATACTGTGTCGCGTCACAATCACTTCTGGATGCTCGAAACAAACGGTTGCTTGGTCGCTTCCCGGACCGTGCCCCACATTTCATTTTAATAGGGGGTAGTAGATTATTGATGGGGGACCGGCCCTTGTCAAATGATTGTTTTTTATTGTTTTTTAATAAGCCAATTTATAGGCCCTGAGCCCTGGACATTTTTTAGGATTTCATCAAAAATGTAGTAGGTAGGTAGGTAGGTAGATAGGTAGGTAGGTAGGTAGGTAGAAAACTAGACTAGACCATCGGGGGGGGAAATCAACAACCAATACTACTTTTTGTGGGCTCGGGTTAACTAGGGGGGATTTATTAATCCTAACTTTACATTACCCCACTTTGATCTAGGCTGCACGTGTGAGCCGTGCATACTCAGCCCCTTGGTGCAGCGCAGGCTTTCCACCGTGACATCAAGTCAGTAGCGATCTTAGCCCGTCCTAGCTTGTCGCTTGGTCCGTTCGCTCGAACACCAAGTGGCTTGCCTCAAGAACATGCTTGAAGCTGCTTCTTGGATCTTCTTGGTTGGTTTGCGTACTTCTGTAAGCGGAGGCATTGTGAGTTGTACACAAGAAACACAAATGTGTGGTGCTTGGTCGGTGATGCGTTGTGAAATGATTTACGCTTGCGTCGACCCTGACAACTGTGAAGGGTTTCGAATGGCACTACGCCAGAGAGCCCTGCAGCCAAGATTTGGCAGCAGTTGATGCACCGCTGGCCGGGTGCAGGCGCTAGGGTGTAGCATCCTTGGGGCCAACGCATCGCCCGTCGCGATGTATGACAGCAAGGCATATGGGCTAACGCGCTTGCTGGGGATGTGGTGGTCGCCCCTTGTTGGGGAGCAGTTGCTCCGGGCGGTTCCAACCGCCCCTGCCACTGTCGAACAGCCCTGAAGAGGGGAGGCCGCAAGATTTTGCTGCTGCGGAGTGGAGTGGGTGTGAAACAGTTGTCAACGAGTCTTTCATTGTGCTGAACTCACGCTGGAGTGGTGTTCAATGACAGAGGGTCCCAAAGTTGCAGCTGGCTCGAACCAAAGACTGAATTACCTCAAGTGTGATGGGGAGATGGAGGAAGAAATCTCTAACAACCCCAGCCCACGCGAGTTTGGAGATCACACAAGGCAACAACTGCAAGGCAGCAGCGGCCCTATCGAGTTGGGATCATCAACATCACAACCATGTTTATCAATTTTTATCAATCTCCGCCTCTTTCCAAGTGTTGAGTGTTGCCCATGTAGCTTCAATCCCCAAGTTCGCCACAGTTCCCACACTAAGTCACTAAGCAATGTGTTCTTCTTGGAGACGCCATAGTTGGCTTCCATGTGGGGCACATGCTGCATGGCAGCAGGTGCTTTCGATGCTTCAAGCCAGCAGAGGTGGGCATTGGGGCTTTCCTCGGGCAACATGTGGGCTTTCGCGCGGAGGTCCAACGCTTCGCCTTCGATTTCCTAGTGCGGGAACAGCATCACGATGGCCCCGCGCGGCTCAGCCAGGACAGGAAACCGAAAGGGGGACCCGGGGAATGCCCCGGACGAGGGCCGGGGTGGTTTAGTTTAATAATAGTGGTGGATGGTTTTGGCAACCTTGCTTTCATTTGGGGGCCACAAGTTTTGTTTCCGGCCAGGTTGGCCCAACCCTGTCAAGGAGTGTGAGGTTTCGGACTTCGTGAATTTTGCAAAGGCATGCGATGAGAATTGTGAGAATTCGCATGTTTGGTTTACCTTGGTGAAGCGTGAGCATACCACGCCAGAAGCACTCAACAAGATTGCAAGGGCCTTACAACTTCCAGCACAGACCAAGGCCTTCAGTTTCTGCGGAATGAAGGATCGCTGGGGTATCACCACTCAACGGGGCAGCTTTCCAACTGATGCCTTGAAGGATTTGCGTCCAGTGGTGTTCAAGGTTCCTGAGCAGTGGCAAGGGAGGAGCAAATTGTTTTAGTCGGGGTTGATCGTTTTTCGTGGTCGCTGCCCTCAACTTCTTGCAGTGGTTCCCCACCCCAGCAATTTATACGCCCACAGCAGCCACACCGTACTCTCCCTTACAAATAGCTAGGAGGCCTCACGTCCACTAAGGGCACATGTTCTCATATCCACTGAGGATCCGAATATCAAGGTTGGGGACCTTGAGTGGAAAGCCAGCAAGGCCCGTGTGGGGAGCCATCAAGGCAACTGTTTCACCATGGTGCTGCGAGATGTCCAGTCGGGCACTGGTGGCGCCCAACAGACTCGGCAGGACATTGCCGAAAGCTTTCAGTCACTGAAGGCCACCGGCAACTTGGAACCGCTTGAAATACGACTTTTTGCATTTTCTTTGGGTGGAAGATGGGGGAATGAAAAAGAGTAGTGAGCTCGCTGAATGATTTTGGGATGGTGGAACACCTTGTCAGAGATTTGTAAGCCCCAAAGCAGTGCAGGTTTCCCGAATTACTTTGGAATGCAACGCTTCGGCACGGGGCAAAGGTGGGTGCAATGCGTTTGACGCTTTGTCCCGGGTTCAAGTTCTGTGCAAAGGCAGTCATACGGGGTTTGGCATTAGTACCATGAGAATCAACGAGATCGTATGCATGAATCATGTGCATGGAATAGCCTCGTGCAGCACAAAATGGCACGTCCATCACTTCCATCACTCCCAATCAACTTGGAGACCTTTACGGGTTGGAACGATTTGGGCTTCAAAAAAGGTCAAGAATAGAAATGGAAATGGAACACCCTTTGAGAAGGAAAGTAGTCGAATCTAGCCTCCACTTGCAGATTCCATATTTTTCATGTTAGTGAGTCAGAGTGTAGTCTCTATCATCAAGGACTTGGTAGGTGGCAACCATTGGCAACCCGTCTCCAGAGAGTTTCCCTCCGCAAACTCGATCGTCCTGATCTTCAGTCTTGGCCAGCTGGAACAGGCCCTCCTCCGAGATGGGTCTTTCCCTACTACGACAAGACCACAAGGAGGCTGTCCTAGTGGTGCTCCGCTCGCGTGCGCGGCATGGCGCGGCATTGCAGGCTGGGAATGGCTGGTGGTGTTTGGGGGTATGTTAAGCGGACTCAAGCACACAAACAAGATTGTGATTTGGGGGATGTTTCTTGACCTTGACACAGAGAGAGGCATTCTCAACCGACCGCTTCGTGTTTACCAAGCGCATGATTTTTTGTTGATGTTGTATAACCTTGATATACCTTGATTAATTTTGTAAATACATAATTATGTGGTTGCCCTGTAAATTTTGGAGATGCGCCCACGCTGCCCTTCTGGGGTTTGAAGCAGGCCTTCTAGTCAAAGGGCTCACAGCTCGGCCTTGCTAAGGCCTTCCTCAGGGCTAAAGAGGGTTGTTTCAATGAAGCGCTGAAGATGATCCCGAGATCCTGCTTGCAAGAGCATGCAGTTCCCAAGCTGCGTCATGGAGAGAAAGCGCATGAAAGCGCTGGGGGCTTGGAGTCAGAGAAAAGGACAAGGCATAGGGATGCCAATTGGATGAATTGACATTGTGACATTCTGCATTTCTGAGTCTTGGGCGGGATGTCTTGGAAGACCCAAGTGCAGTTGATCCAGTTCTGTGCCGGGCTGCTTTCCCAAGGTCTTGCAACACTTAGCAGAAGATCCTGATGACTTTCGGGGAGCATTGAAGGCTATACCGCGACATTTGCGCTTGTTATGGTGTCGTTCCCTGGGATCTCACATTTGGAATCGCGTCCTCTCCCTTCGCATCCAGGAAGGGATGATGGAACCTCTTGCAGGTGACTTCATCATGGACGAGTCTGGCGTTCGATGCTTGCGCCCAGGGGAGCAGAACGACACTCCTTTGTCGGACATTCTACTGCCGGTGCCGGGCTTTGAGTGTCAGAGGCCGCAGAATGACTGTGCCGACATCTACCAGCGCGTGCTGAACGAGATGCGGATTGATGAGGAGGTGTTCCAGAAGCCAGAGGCAGAAGACGAGATTTGGATGGCCGGGAACTTTCGACCTGCGATTGGCCAGCCGTCACAGTTGGGTGACCCGCCGAAAACATGCGATTCGTCCATGCTAGGCCGCTAGGCATCGGCGATGCTCTGCTACCCAAACTCCAGTTCTTTTGGCCAGTTTACCTTTGTGAAATCGATTCTGGATGGGGCTAAGATGAGCTAAGTAATTTTGGATGGTTTGATGTGTGACATGGTCTGACCTCTCAAGTGTCAGCTCGGATTTGCCTCAAGATGTGCATGTCCGAACTGGCTGTTCTTGTGGGTTCGACATTGACGGGTTTGTCAGCTTGGAGGGTGCCTGAGAAGATCTGAGAAGGAAAAGCTCTGGTGGGGGTGCTTATTATCGTTGTCTGAATGTTTGCGAATGCATCCATGAATACACGTCATTTCATGACAGGTTGAGCATTTTCCATGTCCCTTTTGCGGCCACGAGGGCCCTTGAGCATAGCTAGACTACGACCCCAGTAGAAAAGGTGAGACGCAGACTTCGCTTGCTGTCGTTCTACCACATCGAGATTGGTAGCGGAGCTCGAGACGCTCCAGGTAAAGTTCGTCTTTGGTGACCTACATCCTTGCAGAGCCCTTCGGTTTCCTGCTGACAGACGAAGATAAGATCTTCGCCTATGTCTGGCATGGACAGAGGAAGTCCGAGACGGACTCCAGTTCGAAGAGCCAGGACAGCCGCTCCCGAGCAGCAAGGACCACCTATGACGATACCAACTGCTGCCCGAGGAGGTCTCTTCACCAATCCAGAACGAGAAGGTGATGATGGCTTGCAGATGCCTTTTAATCCTGGACCATCTCGTGGAGGTTTAGATTCAGGTTTGGCAAAAGCATGCCCAAGTTCAGAAGGCTTGTCGCAAAAGACCTACCGGAGCTATCGAAGAAGGCTTGAGTTGTTCCAACGTCAATGTGGACGCCGAGGTCGAGAGACAGCCGTGGAGGGGACCTTCCTGGTGATTAGCAAGTTGAGAGACGTGGCATGGGATGCCACTGAACAGTTGAACTTCGATGAAGTCGAACGATCAAGTGATCCCTTCAAGCTGGTGTTCAAGCTGCTCGACGACCTCTACCAGTATGAAGACTTGATTGAAGTTCCCTCGGGGTGTGACGAGTTCTTCAGCGAGTTCCAGCGAGGGAAAGGAGAAGAGTTGCAGGCGTACTTGATACGCCATAAGACGCTCTTGAAGAGAATGAAGGAGGTCAATGTGGATGTTCCTCCACTCCTCTCCGGGTGGCACCTCATGACGAGGGCAGGTGTGCCCCGGTGGACGCACGTCCAGATCAAGTCGATGTGCGGTGGCGACCTGGACTATGACAAGGTCGGAAAGGCCCTCATTCGCATGTTCGGTGGAGATCACAAGCCAAGTGCTCGCGATTTGGGCCGCATGGTTTCTTCAGGTGCCAAAGAGGAGACCTACTATGAGGAGGACGATGAAGAGTGGTTTGAAGAAGCCGCCATGGCCGAAGAATGGGATGAATGGTATGATGGGACCGATGAATACGACGAGGAGTATGACATCCCAGAAGAGCTTGAAGAAGCTATGGACCAGGCTGATGAGGCCTTTGTTTCATATGTCGAAAGCAGAAAAAGGATGAAGGAGTTGGCTCTCTCTCGAGGCTTCTACCCCGTCGTGGCTCTCGGCCCTGAAGTGGAGAAGAACACCACCTACAGAAGTCCAAAAGGAGAAGGCAAAGGTGGTAAAGGAAAAGGAAAGTTTGGTGGTGGCAAGGGCAAAGGAAAAGGCAAAGGAAAAGGTGGCGACAGCTTCATGAGGAGAACGCCCTTCACTAGGCGACCTATGTCTGGACTTCGGAAGCCTCCATTTTCTCCCTCTTCGACAGGAAGCACCACTGACAAGTCCACTTTGAGCGGGTCAACCGCTCAGCATGGACCTCGTTTCAAGAGGTATCGAAGTCAAGCTTCCGGCGTAAAGGAAGTGCCTGAGGAAATCACTATGGTCGAGGAGAACGTGGAGAAGGTGGAGTTCGAGTGTTCTTTGAGAGAACCCGAAGGTGAACAATGTTTCTTTGCAACGACAGAAGCTGGAAAAGCCATCGTTGACAGTGGAGCAACCAGAACGATTGTCGGTGAAGAAAATTGGCACTTGTGGCTTGAAAAGTATGGCTCGGATCAGACTGATCCTGTGGTGTCCAGACAGGTGACCCGTCAGTTCAAATTTGGTGGAGGTGAGACTCTTCAGTCATCCTATGAGGTTTCCTTCACTGCAGTGATCCACGGACAAATCCTTCCAGTGGTTGCCTCCGTGGTCCCAGGTTCAACTCCATTCCTTCTTGCCCGTCCCACACTGGAGGAATGGGGCGTGGTCCATGACTATAGGAATGGAACGATGAAGATCGGCACATCGGACTGGTTTCAGCCTGAGCGCAACGCTCGTGGTCACTTCCTCCTGAACTTGATGATGTACCCGTCGAAGGACGAGAACTTCTTCCCGTCCGAGGAGGAGGACGAAAGTGCCAATGGACCGTCAAGCCCACTGCATGAAGCCTGGGACATTGAACCAACAATGGAGATGGAAGTCACCGATGGCATGATGGAAGAGGTGAAAGAAGAAGCTTTTGAGGCAAAGGACGCCGCTGAAGCCATGCTGGAGAGAATCAAGAAGGAAAGAAAGTTGAAGTTCTTTGAGGTCTATGTGGACCATGGCAACTTGTCAGCTTTCCTTGCCAAGGAGTACGCTGACGTCGAAGTGTCAAGCTTTTCACTGCCAGAGAGGGGCTTCATGAAGAAGGAGGTGAGACAGGAGTTCATCGATCTCCTCCGAACAGTCAGTCCAGAATTTGTTTGGCTGGCACCACCTTGTCGCAAATGGTCAGCCATCCAGCGACTGAATCGGAGAACCGATGTTCAAGCTCAACGCCTACAAGAAGATCGTGAAAGAGAAGAAGAATCTCACCTCGAAATGGTGAAGAACACAGCCCAGATCACCAAGGAGGAAGAGAACAAGTATGCCTTTGAACGCCTCAGTCATGCAGAATCTTGGAAGACTGGGACTATGGAATCCATGACGGGCTACTATGAAGCCACTTGCGATCGATGCCGCACTGGTTTGTTCTACAAGGACCACAAGATCCAAGGCCCGGTGAGAAAGCAGACCCGGATTCGAACCAGCTCGAAGCAAGTGGCAGAAGCACTACATCTTCAGTGCCTATGTGACCGAGCCCATGTTCCTATGGAAGGGAAGACAAAAGCTCTACAAGACATGCAGAACTACGAGCCCGCGTTTGTGAGAAAGGCAGCTCGTGCCATCTATGAGAGCATGGACGAAGTGTGGCAAAAGAAGGAAATAGCCAAAATCATGGCTATGGAAGTCCTGGTGGCAGAAGAAGAAGAAACGGCAGGGACCCACCAGGAGAAAGACATCACCAATGAGGAGATTGAGAAGTCAAGCACGCACTCCAAGAAGGCACTGGCCGTTGTCGAGAAGCTGCACCGCCGATTGGGTCATCCAGGACGTGATCGTCTTGCGGCTGCAGCCAAGGACGCAGGCTTCAATGAAGAGGTGATCAAATGTGCAAAGACATACCGATGTGACACTTGCCAAAGCTATACGGACAAGAAGCTGTCCAAGCCTGCATCCCTACCTCAGACTCAGTGTTTCAACGAAATGTTGGAGATGGACATTTTCCATATTCGCTGGAATGATGAGAAACGAAGAGTTCTGGCTATCATCGACCTGTTCTCCAGGTATGAGATCAATGCAGTGGTTACCAGCGAAACTGAGAAGGAGGAGCTGAAAGTGCTTGACCAATGGATCGAATCCTTTCAATGCCCACAACGTCTTCGAACGGATGCATCTGGAGCTCATATGAGTGAACAATTCCAGAACTACATGGATGATCGAGGCATCAAAGTGGTGCTGGTACCCAAAGAAGCCCATCACAGAATGGGAGTTGTGGAGAGATTGCATGCAGTAAGAAGACTGCAACTTCTGAAGATGAAGCAAGAACAACCTGCAATCTCCTTGGAAACCCCAGTTCCGGTCGCATGCTCTCTTCGCAGTCAACTCCGTTCAATCCATGGCACCTCACCAGCACAGATCGTCTTTGGTCGAACGGCGCAAAGCACTGGACTGATGGATGAACCTTTGAGGCGCCAGGCTGATCCGTCCAACGATCATCAGGCACTCCAAGCTCTCCGGTTGAATGCAGCCAAGGCCTTCTACACAGCCAACCACAGCCAGACTTTGCGCACTGCATTGCTTAGCAAGAGTCGACCAGACAATCAGCAGTTCTACCCCGGCGAATGGGTCTACTACTGGCGATCCAGCGATTCCAAGCTGGACATCAGCCGCTGGCGTGGACCAGCATTAGTGTGCTCGATGACACCCCGTGAGCTTTCCGATGCAGGTCCTGCACCTTCTACCTACTGGTTGGCTCATGGCGCGGCCCTGGTGCGTGTTGCACCTGAGCATCTCCGTGCCGAAGCACCTCGGACCCTCCTTTTGCTGACGCATCAGGATCCAATCCTCTCGATGAAGGCTCGGACTCACAAGAAAACGAGAATGACAAGTCTGATGAACTTGGCCAAATCAAGGAACAAGAAGAACACCAAGTAGGCTCTGGCACAGCTGAAGCGGAAACACAACCTCAGCAGCCACAAGCAGAACCACAGCAGACGCAGGTTGCTAACGAACCACACGCCGCTGCAGAAGCCACAGCACAAACCAAGCCAGAGCCAGAAGTGAATCAAGGCAGAGGAGCCAAGAGAATGCATCCTACAGAAGAGGATGAAAGACCAGCCAAAACCGAGAAGATGTCGAAAGAACATGATGATCGACCCCTTGAACCGCAGAGAGGAAGATCTCGAAGTCCGATGTCCCGAGATGAAAGGTCGATCGCTTTCGCATCATACAACTCTTCCCGACAGCTGGGTGGATTGCCTCCAGTTCAGCAGGATGACCCTTCTTTTCAGAGGTTCCTCGACAACATGGAACCCACGGCAGACGATGAACTGCTCATGGCCGAAACGTTCAAGGAGAGCAAGCTCACCCCTGATGAGAAGAAGCAGTTCGACACCGCCAAGGATGCTGCTCTCATGGTTTGGATTGAGAATGCCGCTTGGAAGGCGGTCCCTGAGAGCGAGGCAGGTGAGGGAGAAGTGGTGCCCGCAAGATTCCTCCAACGGTGGAAACCGACCAGCGAGGGCAGAAAAGCAAATGCCCGGGTGATCCTCCAAGGATTCCGCCACAAGGACGTGCTCAATGAGAATTTGGTGAAGGAGTCACCCACGTTGAGTCGGCTTGGGAGAATCACCATCATGGTTTGGGCAACGCATCGATCCTGGAAGCTATGGTGTGCTGATGTGAAGTCCGCTTTCACGCAGTCGAACTCCATCGATGACTCCACTTAAGGATCTATGTTCGTCCCCCTGCTGAGATGAGAAGACGACTGGAACGCCTGATGGGACTCAAGGAGCACGAGATCTTGAAAGCGACCAAACCAGCTTTTGGTGACGTCAGAGCTCCAAGGCAGTGGAACGAGACGGCGAATGACTATCTGGTCAAGGAACTTGGTTTGGTGAACCATCCACTGGATCGCTGTCTCTATCTGTCAACCCAACAGGCCACAGCTGAGGACGATCCCTTCCTGACTTTCGAGAAGAATGGTTCCTGGTGGATCGTCGACGGAGTGTTGGGACTCCATGTGGACGACTTTCTCGGAGCTGGAGAAGGAGTGGAAAGTTTGAATGAGATCCAAGAGGACTACGCTGGTGCTTGCGAAGTTTTCTGCCAGCGAGTGAGCCTTTTGTCGAGGCGCTTTCGATTTGGAGCTTGGGACTTCGGCGAGAAGATGAGGTTCTGTGGAGCTGATGTGGCTCAAAGCGAGGATCGATCTACGATCACAGTTTCCTTGCAGGAGTACGTCCACAAGATCAAGCCCCTGAGCCTCGAGAAAAGTCGCAAGACGATGGTCGATGACTACTGCAACGAGAAAGAGCACAGGTTGCTTCGTGCGCTGGTGGGGGCAATGTCATGGCCCGCAACTCAGTGTTTGCCTCAGGCCTCTGCAACAATCAGCGTATTGCAAGCGAGCATCAACAAACCGACCGTGAAGGACATGCTTGAGGCCAACAAGTGTTTGAGGTTTCTCAAAGAAGTGGTGAAAGGCTATGTGTTCACGATCCGCTGTCATGGTCCATTGGAGGCCCTGCGAATCGGTGTCTACTGTGATGCCGCTTGGTCAGTTCGACCTGACGGAAGCTCGCAAGGCGGCATGCTGATGTTTTTGGCCAATGCCGATGAGGTCAGTGGAGAGCACCCTTTTCCGTTGACAGTGATCGACTGGTCGAGCAAGAAACTGGTCCGCTTTGAGCGCAGAAGCCCAGTCGGCGACAATCGCCATTGACGAGTTGGAGTGGGCCAAAGTGTTCTTTGCAGCAATGCTGAACCCCTTCATCCCCATCCAGGAGGACCAGACAATGCATGTGTTTCAGGAATCTCCCGTCATCACGGACGCCAAAGCTCTCTACGACAGTGCATTGTCAGTGACACCTGGACTCAAACTCTCAGAGCGTCGCACTGCCATCGAAATAAGCATCCTACGTGAGCGGTTGAAGGCTGCAAAAGGTGAGTTCAAATGGGGCAACTCCTTGCAGCAGCTCGCGGACGGGCTAACGAAGCCTTCAGCGAAAGATGCATTGGCTCATACCCTCTCCCGTGGTGTTCATGCCCTTCGCTATGATCCTCACTTTGTGGCCGCCAAGAAAGTGAGTGCGGAAGATCGAGAACGGGAGACCAAGGAGTTTGAGCAGGCCGCTGAAGAGCTCTTTGATGGACAGGTGTTCATGGTCGAGAATGAGAGTGAGAAGAAAGCCAAAGGCCTTTATCTGCTCCCTGGGTGCATGAAGGAGAAAGATGGAAATGAAAAGCACAAATATTGCAGTCGGAGGCACTTCTACCTGCACCAATTTCGACAAGGACGAAAAGGAGATGAATGGCAGAAGGCTGCCAAGTGTGCAATGTCCGCCCTTGCAATGGAAAGCATTGGTGCTGAAGCTGCCGAAGTGAACTTGAACGAGGGTGAACGACCCTGGACAAACACTATGATGGTGCTCTCTCTTTTTTTTTGCCATGGTCGGATTGTTCAGTTCTTCTTGGCTGCTAAAAGATGTGATCTATGAAGCCATCTGCAAGATGAAGAATGCCCTGGTCAGGTCATTGTCTATGACCGTGTGTCTGTGTACCTGGCCACGCCATCCGTAGGTTTGAGCCATGGCGGTGGAAGCCATGTCGACACTGCGAATGACCCAGTTGTTGAAGTGAACGACATTGTCGAGCCCCAAGGCTACACGGTGGAACAAGAAATGGAAGAACAAGAGAGGTGGAGCCGCCTCTATGAAATGGTTTGCCAAGAGGAAGGTCAAGAAGCCTGGCGTAGAACGCTTGAGACTTTGAATTCAGCCGTGGTCACTGCCCACATGAGAGGCCATGTGATTTGGCACACCAGAAGTCCGGCAGCAAGAGTTCTTGAAGCTGAGCTTGAAAGACAACAGTTTCGGCTACAGTGATGCCGAAATTTGCCAGTGGCACCGCTTCCTGAATGCTCACTTTGACTTGATCGTTGACATCCATGTCGGAGTGAGGAAGCAGGAAAAAACTTTGGAGGAGCTGAACAAGCAGCTTTTGAGCCAGAGTGAAGGCGGAAATCGCCATGAAAAGGAGAAGAGAAAGTTTGAGAATGGTGAACTATGTGATCGGCAACAACAGACGCGACTCACTTTCGACGTCGTTAACGCCATGATGGCGAGTGCTGTGGACGGAGCTTGGAGGTTCACAAGCACGTATGAGAGTCGCGTGTGAGAAAGGAAGGCGAAGCTCGGGCCGGCACGAAAGAGTGCCTACTTTTTGAATGTTTTCCATGCGGCATTGATTTTAAGACTCTTTGCCCATCTGAATGTTTGCGAATGCATCCATGAATACACGTCATTTCATGACAGGTTGAGCGCTTTCCATGTCCCTTTTGCGGCCACGAGGGCCCTTGAGCATAGCTAGACTACGACCCCAGTAGAAAAGGTGAGACGCAGACTTCGCTTGCTGTCGTTCTACCACATCGAGACGTTGACCCATCTCACATATTAGAATCCGAATGGTTGTCCCCATGGACCCCAATCGATCCAAACAACTTGGAGCCTTTTGTGCTTCGGGGCCTGGCATGTTGGGCCTAGATCTTTGGATTTTTGGTTCATGGTCTTTGCTTGGCAGCGGGCCCCATTGCTTGCCGACAGTCCTTCCATTTTTGGTGCTGGGCCATCAAGAGATAGAAAGAAACAGGAGGGGTAGGTAAGGCATGAGTTTTTTATCATTGACCTCGCGGAAGAACACCACAGTGCTTGACCAACTTGGAACAGAGACTTCCACGACAGCCATTGGTGAACCATTTGGGCCCTCAGGGTGACACAAACCTGGGATCTCCCTTGCACATGGATGTCCCGAGGATTCCACTTCATCGACCACGCGCCGCCCAGCCCCTTGGTGCCGAACGACCTCGAGGATGGCTGCCACGTGGACGGATCGTCTCAGCATGATCCCCTGGCGCTGGTGGTGGACTTTTGTTTGCCCAAGTCCAGCTATGCCACCATGGCAGTACGAGAGCTGATGAAGATGGATCCGTTAGCGAAAACGGGGCGAGCGGGTGGAAGGGGAGAGATTGCGAGGTTTGGCTCAAGTTGGGGACCCTGAGCCGCTGAGCATCCTGAATTATCCTAAACTTAATTTAATATCTGGATACCAGCCAAGGCTCGAGTTCGACTCTAGCTGGCCCCAGCTGCTTTTCCACCACACTCTTAGGTTGACTGCAATGACAGGAAACATCAGCTCATCAGCCAGTGGCCATTTCCGGACTTTGTCGTCCACAGCCGCTCTGAGGCCAACATATTGCTCGACCGACACCACACAGCCAAGATGGCGGACTTTGGTGGCGCTCCCAGACGGACAAACGGAGTAGAACGATGTGGAACGCGGGCTGCCCGTCTTGGAAGAAACATGACGTGATGGGACTATCACCCACATTCTCATGTAGAGTGCTTGACCTCGGTTTTTATGATTGCGTTGTGCTGTGCTCGTGCATGGTGACTAATACCTGCTACGCCACGCAGCATTGCAGAATTCAAAATGGAAGAGGCTTTGCAGGCATGAACACCTTGGAGGAACACGATTGGCTGGACTTGCAGTAGTAGTATGACAAGATGTTGATTTGGGTGTGCATTTTTTATAGGGAGACCCCCAACCAATGGGTTTTTGGCCTTTGAAGTTTCACGCACAATTGTTTGTTGGGTTCTGGCCATTTCTGGCCTATATTCCCTTCTTCCACGAGGGTCGAATTGGGAGGTCTCCCTGTTTGAGCTACGCACCCATTTCTCGAAGAATTGCTCAGAGCATCACAGACGGCACGCATTCTCGTTGGGGCTCGGATCTGTGAACTGCCTGGCTGCTTTGAATGAGGATCGTTGGATGCTGAGAGAGAGAGAGAGAGAAGGGGTTGGATGCAGCAGTCAGCAGCTCAAAGCAGAGCTGGCACATCAGGATACGCCTCATTGCTTTTGTTTATAGAAGGACCAGGGGTGGTTGGAACCTTTCAGGGATCTCTGAGATGGGGCGCAACGTCCCCGATTCCTTGCATTCGTTGCACCAGTCTCATGAGGAAAAGCAGTCGGCTGATGTATTCAAAGGTCGCCACTCTGGAAGTGTTATATGTTGGACTCCTGAAGATTGAGGCAGAATAGGCATGAATTGGGAGACCCCCGAGTCAGACCCCTTGGGAAGATGAACAAAAACAACACTAAACCGGTTGAATCGGTCTCCGATTGCTACACTCCCATGTCGTTTCCTTGGTTTCCAGCTTGCCCTTCAGAGGACGCTCTGCAGAAAGCGGCTCCTGAGGTGCCGGGGGTTGGTAGATGTATGGCTGCAAAGTTCGGGGTGGGCAACCCAGTCTTTCAGCCAGGATATTATAGAATATGATGTTTCACCCAGGTTTCTGACTCAAAGAATCACAACATTCGTTGCTGGGTGCCTCTTGCTAGTGTTTCCGCCTCTTGGGTGGTGGGGCTCACGTTAGTCATGACCTCGGTAGACCCGGAAAGCCAGTCGATTGAAATTCGCGGCATACCATTGCGTTTTATAGCCATGTAGGATTCCCCTATGAAATGAGGGGGGTGCACGTACTTCAGAAAATGTTTCATGTCTACCCCTGTGGGGGGGGTGGGGTCTTGATTTTATAGAGAAAATTTAGTTTGCAGAGATGGGTTGTCAGTTTTGGCAAGCAATCATACATGCTTGATTGCATGATCAATCAGACGCAGAGACACATTTGATACCTGAAGTTTGGGAGCTGCTATCACTTTTTGAAGGGCAGTCTTTGAACAGGTAGTCTTTGAACGCAGGAAACAGAGAATCAGGCATCACAAACTGAGGTGGGGCCCGGCCATTTTATATAAGTTGTGGGGTAGGTCCCTCCCCCAAAGTATACTCCATAGGGGGGTTCACCCCCACTTTATATCTATAAAATGGCCCACAGGTGCCCCCTGCCGTATCCTACACGGCTATGGTGTTTTCTAAATCCATTGTGGCCTGCGTGCTGAGTTCAAGCGCTACACTCTTTGGGAACTGACAGATTCTTTGGAGCTCACATTTTCTCAACGGAGCCACGTGCAGCTTCCTCTAGTTAGTCGTTCAAAACACTGCAAGCAAGGCTTTTAGAGCCCCAAGAAGAAAAGCAGAACGAGTACAACCTGTTGCCAAAATCTAGTGCACATGGGGCATGGACGAAATTGTCCTTTGCTCTTATACTTGGGATGCACAGGAGGGTATTTGATTGCAAGTTTTTCAGTGTTTGTTTTTCTTCTTCATTTTTCTTCTTGCAGTTGTTTCCGGGCAGTTCAAGAGGGCCCCCATCCTGGCCTTCCTCCGCCAGCCATGTCACGCTCCAGATCCCCTCCAAAGGATATGAGGGGCCGGTGGAAGGACAAGATTTCCCAGTTGCATCCCTTTCTGGGTGCTCGAGTGGAAGGAGTTGACCTTGCAGAGGTGACCAAGGAAGAGATCTTGAGCACTTTTGCTCCGCTGCTCGAGGAGCTCGGGAAACAGTATGGTTTGGCGCAAGACGTTAGGTCAGCTATTGAAAGAGCACTCAGGCACTCGAACCAATTTTTGGCATGTAATTTGGGCCCCCAAAAAGGGTGCCAGGGCTAAGCCCTAAGCACCAACAAACATGAGCAAAGCCTTGGTTCAGCTGACCCCCAGGTGACTAAAGCTTGGCCCCTGAAGGAGTATGGAATATTGCTTTTCCCAAAGCAGCAGGACTTGTCTCCCCAAGTTTTCTTGAACTTTATGAAGAGTTTCCCAGATGTGGATCTTGAAGAGCTGGCACGGGCCAAGAACCCCTTTGCGCAGGGAGATCCCTCCTGTTTGCCTGAACTACCCACGGTCCGTGCTCTTGGAAACCTGACCTCCGATGTCGCCTTACACCGGGGCGCTACGCCCGAGCTCAACCAGATGGGCACTGAATGGCATACCGATGGCTGTGGCATCACTGGGCTGTTTGCTGCACAAGTGCCAGGAGGAGAGATCAAAGAGGATCACGCTTTGAATAGTAATAGTCCCATCCTTGCGAGTAGTAGCGATGCACCTTGTTGCTAGTAGCTTCTTGTTGATGCACTTAGCTACTAGTAGCTTCTTGTTAATGCACTTAGCTACTACTAGTAGCTTCTTGCTACTAGTGGCGATAAACCTTGTTACTAGATGCACCTTGTTACTAGTAGTAATGCAGTGGCTACTAGTGCCAGGAGGAGAGATCCAAAAGGACCACGCTTGGAATAGTAGTAGTCCCGTCCTTGCGAGTAGTAGCGATGCACCTTGTTACTAGTAGCTTCTTGTTGACGCACTTAGCTACTAGTAGCTTCTTGTTAATGCACTTAGCTACTATATAGTAGCTTCTTGCTACTAGTTGCAATGCACCTTGTTACTAGTAGCTTCTTGTTACTAGTAGTAATGCACTGGTTACTAGTGCCAGGAGGAGAGATCAAAAGGACCACGCTTTGAATAGTAACAGTAGCGTCCTTGCTAGTAGCAGATGCACTTAGCTACTAGTAGCTTCTTGTTACTAGTAGTAATGAGCTTCTGGGCCCAAAGCCCTAAGGCTTAGGAGACTGGCCCCCTGCGGCTGCCTGTTTGGCCTCGCGGCTGAAAGGCAGTGTCCACTAGCGGCCAGCCTACCTGGCCGCAGGCCTCAGGTTGTGCCTTGAAGCTGGTGTGACCCGCGTGTGTTCTCGCGCCATGGATGAGCTGGAGCCCATGTGGGGCGACCTCCAGGAATCTGTGAGGAATGGGGTGTTTGGCCTTTTTTCTGGCCTGAAGGCAGGGTATTTCCCCTCGATCGGGCCCTCGACCTTCGTGGCCGGCAACGTGACATCTTTTGGTGATGAGTGGATTGATTTACAAGCCATGTGGTTTGTTCCGAGAGCTGGTTTTCAGGGCGACAAAGACACCTTGAATGTGAGGATTGCATTCCAAGGGTTGAGCGACAAGTGTTTGCATGTTTGCCCTGGCATCCAAGTGGTTTGCATCGGCGACTGTTCTTCCATGCTTGATGGCAACACCTTGACATTGAGAAATGCTCGCATTTGTTTCAGGCCTGAACACGAGCCGACATTACCAGTTGATGTCATGCACTTGTTCTGCGGCGCATATGGTGGATGGAGTCAGGCCGTCCGCTGGCTTGACAAGACCCAAAAATTGTGCCTTGGACAAGAGATGTTCATCGACAGAGACCCACAGGTGATGACCGTGTGGAACGCCAAGCACTGTGCTGAATTTCGCAGGCTACCATTGGACGCCAACCAAGCCTGGTCACATGCAAAGAACGTAGGACTCTGCGGGAACATCGCTGACCCTTCGATTATTGATGCATGCAGGTCCCAAGCAAATCTGGTAGTCACTATGTCTCCGCCATGTCAGAGTTGGAGCAAGGGAGGGCTCCGAGCCGGCATCGAAGACTCCAACGGACAAGCATTTTTAGATGCACTGGTGTTGGCTTTTTCTGTCCAGGCGACTAGCATTGCTGCCGAATGTGCGGATGACATAGTCACACATCCTCACTTCAAGATTGTCAAAGCCCTTGCAAGTGCCTTGGGCTACAAATTAGTGTGGGATCAGGTCACTCCATACCATGTCATGACCTCACATGCCAGATCTCGGTGGTTGGGAGTGTGGGTTCGTGCGGACCTCACGATGCAGGCCTTTCCATTTCAGTTGAGGCTGCCGAGTTTTCCTCGCACTCATTGGACTGACCAGTGCTATCAATTCCCCATCCCATCACGATGGATTTCGCAGTTGCAGTTGTCGGACTCTGAATGCAGGATGTATGACTCAGTTCATTTCTTGCCACCGGCCAAACGTGCCAGGTTCGAGAACAAGAAGCCAGCCACCAACGAGGTCATCAGATCCAGGATCCCGAATGGATCAGATGTGCTCCCGACCTTGTGTGCCTCATATTCGAGGCAGCACCACCTGGCTGAGCATCACTTGAGACAGAAAGGCATTTTTGCGTGTCTTCAGGAATCGGCATCCGGATTCCGGTTTCTTGACCCGGCCTTGTTCTGCAGCCTGTTTGGAACGACTGAGCACGTTGTTCTTTCTGAGAAGATTGAAGAGTCATTCCATTTCGTAGGCAATGCCATCACCGTCCCACATGGAGTCCTTGCCCTGTCCATTGTTCTGCATGCCACCAGTTCGTGTGCTGTTGACCCGATTGGACTTGTCAGGGAAGTGTGGGCTCAACGACTGACTGCTTATAATGCCATTTTGTTTGCTCTGGATGGACTTGTTCATTTGATCCCCATCAAGGACTTCTGGAAGTGGGTTTCCATCAAACCAGGCCAAGACCGCTCCAAGGCCCAGTGGACCATGGCAGGTAGTTGTGCTGATGTCAAGTTTGAATTTCAGGTT